GCTGCAGAGCGATGTAGCAGAAAGACGAAAATCTAGGGCGGATAACGAACTCCAGAAGTAACCCGGATGTTGGTCCTAGCTCGAACGCCTCATTATGGCGCAACACAACCTAATAAAACCTAAACATATGTTTTGTGAGTCTTTTTCGAGAACGTCTTGTATGAGACAGGATAAAGATGTGTTCAGAAGTAGGATAGAATCGTAGACTGAAACATATCGTCCGTATGAAGAATCGGTTATTACTTTACTACACCGTTATTTTTATGAGTTTTACAACCATTTGAAGATAAACAGTGATCCGGAAGTTTAGAGGTCAGCAATTCAATCTGAATTGCAACATTTTGCCTATGAACATCAAATAGAGCTGATTTTCCCGATTGGCAACAATTTCGGCGCAGTTCCTATTAAATTGGGCTATTTTTTCCAAAGGCCAACGGTCGTAGCGTAAAAATCGGTGCTATCAAGTCCGATTCTCCTGCCAGAACAATTAAAGTTCACTCTTCTGATCTGCGTTCAACCACCATCCAACCCAGTCCTACAAGTCCACTTTATACTCCCTCAGAGGTATTTGTGAAGCTTTCTTCACATTTTCCTGGCAACTACCTTCCTTGGCACCTTATCTAACAACACTCCAGTCCTATCAGGGAGGATGGGATCTACTATCCGCTCTCTCTCTAGCCGCTAAGGGCATCAGCGCTCAACTTCTAGCTGTCACTGTCATTCGAAATGAGCCCCATTCGGCGACTTATTGGAGCTGGCCGACGGAAAGGGCGTTTTCTGAGCTTTCGAATGTACCTGGTAACTGGTTTTGGCGTTAAGTAGCGGCCGGTGCGTAGTTTGGGTAGGATTTGAGTTGAATTATCAGGGGAAGATTAAAAAAATCTCCTAAACCATTTCATTTTACCTTTTAGGCTGAATAAGGTATATAAATTTCTATGTTCTAGAATAATTCGGGGTTGTTTCGATCTCACGATCCCGCTCAGGTAACGACCGGTGGCCCACCATTTGGCGGAGAATTTACGAAGGTATCCAACTACGCGGACAGACTTTTTCCTATAAAATGGTGTACCCAAAGCCTTAGCCGAACCTCACGCACCACAGCTTTTGTTATACTTTTGAATCAACCAATACCTTCCTCCCTTCCACAACTTTTGTCTGAGAAGCAGCGGCTTTTTATAACATCGAAAACCCTGGTGGACTTGTACTTACAATTAGTGCTTCCATTTGTATTCACGATCAAGCTTATCAGTATTCTGCACCTATTTCCAATGCTCTCATTGCTATTCATTATTGTCTCGCAAGGATGACGACTTGTGAGCAAAACTCCGGCCTCTGACGACAATCGAAACCGTATTTGTGTCCGGGAAGATAAGTAGAGGTTCGAGTCCCGTTCGAGGCCAAAGGTTTGCCCACAAATCGCCATCCTTGTGAAACTTTTGCATCGTGATATAAGAGCAGTTAGCAAAACATCAATCCAAATCCATTATTGTGCTTTTTATATGCTTATTGCTATTGAATAGCTCTCTGTTAGCCCTTTTTCATTAGGTCCCTTTTTCCATGACTTATTATGTTTGAGTAAGTAAGTAGTTGTGTAAGTGAATAAGCAAAGAAGCTGGAAACAATTACAGCTGTATCTAATGTACTCCAGGGGAGTCTCCCCATACAGAGACCCCTTTCAAACGCCCTATCCCTAGCCGCGCCCGCTTACCCACGCTTTGAACCTGCGGCACAGCCAGGCTTTCGAATTGGTGCCGTATGCGATCGATAGGTTTCTGACATATCCGCAGATTCCAACACCTTTATCAGAGATCGTCGAAAACGCTCAGGAACAGCTATAAATTGCAGATCACCTCGTCAGAGTGTTCTCAGAACTAAGTGAGTTGTAGTTATGGAGGCTGCTGACCTGCTTTAGATCTGTCTGAAACTTCAACTATGTGTAAGCCTCTGAAATTTAAAAGACCATCTTGGGTTGAATTCAATGACTAGTACTAGAACGGGCTGGTTTTACTTGATAACGAAATGGAGTGGGGTAAGTGGGGCGGTATGTATCGTGCACCGAACTGGTAAAGTTCGAGCGGCCTGCCTCCCCCTCTCCTCTTCCTTTATGACCAAAGATCTCCTCTTAAAAATCCAAGCACACGTGAATGAAGAGCTCGCCAGCAACAGCTTACAGCCAAATTCCCTGATTAGCATGGATAGCTTACCATTTTGGAAGGGTTTCATATTTTTGGTGTTTCCTTTGATTTGAAACAGATCGGAACTTGGTGGAAAGGGTGCTCAATTTTGCCGCTACCAGTTTGAAGTGGCTGGAAGGGAAAATCTACTCTCATCTGGATCCGAAAAGTAACTAATGCTCATCAGGGAAGTTCATCATGACCGTTCTTCATCATCTTTCTCTCTGTTTTACTAACTTGAGCAGAGGAAATCAAATGAGAACCATTATTTCACTTCCGATAACAAGCCATCTTTGACTCTAATCCCGTTGGCATCTTCCCAAAAATAGACAGAACCTTTTGGAGGAGAGACCAGACAACGAGGGGACTAACTCCTCTCGTTGGCTGGCCGCGGAACGCTGAGGTTGCTTAGCCGGCGTGAAGCCTCACGCGAAGGGATTGTCTGTAACCCCTTGAAATGCGCTGTCCACTTCCACGTTTTCGACGAGTATCGTGACCCTGGAAATACGACGGATTAACGTATCGATAAGAAGACAATAGAAAATGTACATTGACGTTAATCGTAACGACAAGCGGTTTAAAGAGACCTGAACGCCATCTCCAATTAATAGCCACGAATGTCTGCTACGGAAAAACTGATCAATTTCGACGGCCTTTGCAAGGTGTTGGGTTTTGCGAACATGCAGGAATTTATCGATCGCCTATTCTGCAGAGCTGAAGGCTCGGATTTTCCCCATGTAAAGAGCAGGCAAAATCGTCGCAGCCGAGCAGGTGCGACAAGTTGCGCCTTGTGTCAGCACACGCTGGTACTCGTTAGCAGTTATACTGAAACAACAAAACGGGGTATAAACACGTACAGACGGCACAGATGTCGCCGCGCGACGTACCGCACGATGCATCGCGCACCGCGCAGGCGGTGTGGCTTAGTTAGTTATACCTTGTCATGAGACTTCGTGAGCTGACTTATAAAGGTTTCCCACGCGATGGATCCTTTGCTATTTCTAGCGCTTGCTAAAACTGGGAAGTTCGTGCATTTCAAGCAACAATTGCTGGAATAGGCTCTTGTGACTACTTCTTCACCAGGAAGTCTTCACGCAAATCTTGTTTTCACAGTGACAACATCTTCCAACGATATGCTAACTTTTTCTTCATCATTTTGGGCCACATCCTCTTATCTTTCACTAGTGTGGGTATTTCGAAAAGGGCGAAGAACTTCAAATTGTGAAATGCAGAATAAATCCGTTGAAAATTCAGAACGTCCCTCAGCACTGCAGAAGGTCCGAAATGTCAACTAACTCGTCATTAGCGCAGTTTATGTCTCAATGAAGCAAAAACCTGATTGCAAAGCGCCTGCAGTGTCGTACGAAAGTGTAAACCAACCAGTTTGATGTAAGACTGCTATTCAGACACGATGCATAGAAGATGTTTCCGGTCTTGCAAACCCCAACCCGCTATTTGCAATTGTTTAGAACTATACAGATAGTGAAACGCCTTCTTTGGAATACCTTCCATGGAATTTTTGCTTGTTCTTACCATTCTGGTAAAACCACAAAAACAGGAAAAGTATTTCTCATGTCTCCATGGGAAACCGAGATTGGGATGGGCGGGTGGAAGAAGACTGCTTTGTTCGCTAGCGTTTTTACCATTCCAGGCCTTGATAAATCCCGGTTTTTGGA